TCAACTTCCCAATCCTGGATTAAAATATATGCACACACATATCAACAATCTGTATAATATCTGTATGCGCATACAGATCAACAGCCTGTGTACACATATACACAGATTATGTATACATTGAATGTAACATGACAACTCTCCTTTTGTATTTGATAGGCAGATTTTCAGGATAAATATATAATTTCAAATACAAATAAAATAGTGACCTACAGAGCAGTCCTCAGCTTTCTCAACTAATCATCTCAGTTACCTTTTATGTGTACCATTTATGTAATTCAGAAACTCATAGACACCAAGTATGTTGAAATATGGCTTAATGGAAGCTACCAAGGGACCTGAATCAGACTTTTATAACACAGAGACAAGTACCAATTTAAAGTGGAGGCCAATTCCCAGAATGGCATTATCTGTGTTGTGTTAATTCTTTATTATTCAAAAGATTGCTAACTGTTCATATCTGCACAAATGTGTTCATGCTTCATTCATTCCAAGTCAATAATAATGGATTCTTACTATTGATTATACATGAGCCTTTTTGTCCCATCATAATGAAATTTTAATGTTGATGGTCCCCAAACTATTATTTCAACCTAATAACAGTGAGACTTGACAATTACCTTGGTCTGTGAATTGCAGATAGAACTAATAAGGTCATCCTTAATAACTTTTTTGTTTACCTGACATTTGGTAATTTTATAGTTATTATGTATTATTTTAAAGTCAGTGGATTGTTTTGCAGAGGAATGTTGCCTCCCCATGGAATAAAAATACGATGCCATCATGAGGAAACCTCTTTGGCTGCCTGCTCTCTGACCTACCATGTGGTGTTCGCTTCCATTAAAAGATCCCTCCAGCCCTCCGAGAGGAGAGAGATGAGCTCCAGTAATTATCATTCAAAAGGGCTGACCAAAAGAAAACCAAGACATCCTTAAATCTTCCAAAACAATTTAGAGGGAGAAACTTAATTTCAGAATCAATAAGGGCAGGAGAGTTGCAGAAGCACTCTTTGCTCTTTTCAATGAGCTAAACAAATATGCTTTATTCCCACTATAAATTTCATGCCAACATGAGGCTATTTGTACAAAGTTTTATTTGGCCCTCATCAGCCCAGTGTCAGCACAAGCTGTTTTTTTCTGTTTTAGCCTAATCTAACCCTCATGGCACTAGCAAATCTATTTTATGCTGGGCAAGAGCAGAGCATATAGGGGCAAAGGTTTTCCTAGGTGAAGGATGTAGACTTACACATAAGTCACTAGCAACCATGCAGTTTGCCACTAGTTGTAAAGTGAGTAACAACTGGCCATGGCCCAGCATCTGACTACCAAACTGTACATGTCTCTGGAACAGGGCAGCTGAAGCAGTGAAACTAGCCACCATGGGGCCATGATAATGTTAATAAAAGGCCCATCATTTTCTTCTAACTACAGCATAGCGGTTAGGGTTGAGCCTAAGCAGAGTAAAGTAGCCACCTCAGGCAGTGAGTGATGGGAGACACCAGCAAAGTGTTGGAGGAGAGAGAGCTCTCTACCATGCAATGTGTCCTCCAGCCCTTAGCCAAAGATGGGAGATCTTTTTCTGCCAAAGGGATGAATTCACTTTCAGAGATATTCTCAGCAGCCATATTCTAATGTGGACTAAGACCAAAGATTAAAGGTTAAGATTTTTTAAAAATGCCAGCATATTTTAGCTGAAAAATGTCAGCCACTGTTACTTTGAATTTTTAGAATGGAGGAAACCTGTACAAAAGCTAGGAAATCAACAAACAAGAATGTTATAAGGGTGTGTGTGACCATTTATGGAATCTGAGACGGGCAGACTCAGCCCTAAAGCCTAAGGTTCCTCAACCCTGCTCTATGCTAGCCTGCTTCCTTAGGTCTGATAGAGGATGCTGTGTTGAAGAAGGATATGGCTGCCAGCTTTTGTACACAGAATGGATGAGATGGAGTGTCATAAAGTGGGGAGGGATTCTTGTTAGGCAGCACAATGTTGTCAGCTGTCCATGATATGTAAACAGGCAAATAGCCTTTGAAACTAAAGGAAAATATGTGAGGACCATGGCCAGAATCCTGTATAGGATTTACAAATGTGTGAGCACTGTATCTGCAGTGCTGTACAGAGAATCCCTTCTCGAACCTCCAGTTCCCACTTACCTGGCAGCACCCATTGTGATCAATGTTGTCTATTTCTTTGTTGATCAGGAAGCAAGTGGCTGATGGTCCCTCCCACCCCTCTTCATGCAAGTGACATGAGTGGGAATTGCAACAGGAGTCTGGCTTCTGCTTGTCACACCAAAGATCACTCATAGGACAGAAAATTAAAAAGAAAAACAAATGTAAACAAAACAGCACCTAAAAGACCATTATCCCTTTAGTAGTCACCTCCTCAAAGATCTGCCAAAACAAAAAGGTCTTCACCTGTCTACAAAAAGATAGCAAGGGGGATGCCAGTCTAACCTCTGTAGGAAGGGAGTTCCAGAACCTGACAGCAGTGCCAACAAGGCCCTCTCCTCTGTTTATACCAGATGCACTGTATATACCAGATGCACAGCAAGAAGGGCCTTCCCAGAAGATCTCGAGACACAGGAAATCTCATATGGGGAAACAATTCTTCAAATAACCTGGACCTGAGCTGTACACAACTTTGTAGGTCACAACCAGCACTTTGAATTATGCCCAGAAACAATTTAGCAGCAGGGAAGTTGTTTCAACAAGGGAGTTGTGTGCTTGCTGTAGCCAACCCCAGTTAACAATCTGGCTGTAGTTCTTTGACCCAGATGAAGTTGCCAAGCATTCTTCAAAAGCAGCATCACATCAAGTGTGTTATTGTAATCCAAACAGGATGTAACTAAGAAATGTGTCACTGTGGCCAAATCCAGCATCTCAAGGATTGGGTGAAGCTGGTACAGCAGTGCAAATACATTCCTGGCCACTGCAAAAACCTGGGCCACCAGCTTCATGATAAGTCCAAGAGTACACTCAAGCTGTACACTTTTAGCGGAAGTGTAGTCTCATCAAGAAAGATTACATGAGAGCCAGTATGACATAGTGGATTGAGCATTGGACTAGGACTCTGGAGGCCAGGGTTCAAATCCCAGCTTGGCCATGAAACCCATTGGGTGACCTTGGACAAGTCACACTCGGCCTCAGAGGAAACTTGCCAAGAAAACCCTTTGAAAGGGTCACCATAACACAGAAGCTAACTCACCATAAGACAGAAATGATTTGAAGGCACAGCTGCCCTGTTCCAGGGACATTTCAAAAATGGCAAGTTCCTGTTTTTGAAAAGTGGCCAGCTACGCATGGCTGGACCCAGGTTACAGTTGTCCAGCTGCAGCTGAATGTGATAATACCTGATATTAAAACTAAACATTACTTTATCTAATTGGGGATAAGTTGCTTTAAAATGAATGGGATAATCTTCAGTGTTTCAATTTGGTCAGCCCCATGATTCATCGTTCACTGATGACAGACACCAGTTTAGAACCCAGACAGCTTCCTTTGATTGAGATGGAAAGAAGTAGTAGAGCTGGGTGTCATGCAGAGAAAGATCATAGCCCTTGTAGAACTGAATATAGAAGACTCTAGAGACTATCTAGCTGTAGAATGCACTATCCATCCCATGGCACAAAGAGATGAGTGATGATGTTGAGACCAGTGAAAATGGTAGTGCATAAAGCAAGGGTGAGGATTGTGCACTCCATGACTCACATCCAGCCTCAAGAGTGGAGAATCTATGTGACATTTGGGTACCCTTCCAAATCTCTCTTTTTTTTCCCCATTTCTTATTTTAGCTGAAAAAATGGCCAAAACTAGTTTCTTGCAGATGTGGGTTGGCCTATAAATGCTGCTTGGGGAGCACCCCAAAACAGCAAAGAAAAATTCTAAAAGTGACTGGAAGTGGAAGTGACTTCTGGCCACCTGAAATGTTACTTCCAGTCAACATGAGGTATCCAGCCCATTGAGGGACAAAAGGAGGCAGAATGGCTCTCTAACCATTCCTGGCCTAGATACTTCAGCTGATTCTTCACATTTTCAGACTCCATCTTGGGACATTAGTATAACTACAGGTCCTTTTTTGGAATTAAAGTCTTTTGTTGGAATGTTGACAAGGACCCTGAGAGTCTGGAGTTCAGGCATGAAATAGGTAATCTTGGGCAAGCCATACTCTCTCAGCCTCAGAGGAAGGCATTGGCAAACCTCCTCTGAAGAAATCTTATCAAGAAAACCCTGTGATAGCTCTGTCTTAAGGAAGCATAAGTCAGAATTCAAGGTACACAACAAATGCACACAGAACTTTTCACTTTAACATATAAAGTAAACTCTTTGATGAAGTTGTCAAGTCATGTCCAACTGTAGAGGCTGGTGCTCATCTCCGTTACTAAGCTGAAGAGCCAGCGTTGTCCAAAGATGACTCAGGTGATCATGTGGCCAGCATGACTGCATGGAATGCTGTTACCTTCCCACTAAGTATTTATCTACTTTCACTTTTACATGCTTTCGAACTGCTAGGTTGGCGGAAGCTGGGACTAGTAGCAGGAGTTCACTCCGTCACGTGGCACTTGGGTCTCAATCTGCCAACCTGCTGATTTTGCAGTCATCAGAATCAGCATCTTAACCACTGAACCACTTCAAGGTACACAACAAATACACACAGAACCTTTCACTTTTAAGATATATCCAAGATTGTTTTGGGACTTTTCTTTCCAGGCCAATCAAAAGACTTCTCAGCCCTGTTTTTAAATTTTGATTGTGGACCACACAGCTGTGGCTTCTTCTTAATTTTGTTTAGTGACATGTGCTTCATGCTGCTTCCCTCCTGCTTCATTCAAGTCTATGTTAGCCTATGTTGTTTATTCCAAGATATATGAAAGACCTTCAGAGAGCTGAGGTGAAAACAGAGGTGCAAGATAAGCAGAGTGGAGCAGCTGTGTTATCAAGTTACGTAGCTTGTTCCAGTTAGCTGGAAAGCAGAGGAGACACTCCACTATTTGTTTTTCTCCATCTTAGAGGAAAGGAGGCTTATGATCTTTCACTAAAAAGCCTGCTAGAAGACAAAGTATTTGTTTTCAGGCTTGTTCCTAAGAGAAGTATCCCCAAGACTGCCCACAAGAACTTGTTGTCATATGATAGAACCTCCCTGACCTAAGAAAAAACAGGGAAAGGAGGGAGGAAATCTGTTGAGAATATTGATTTAAATTAACTAGGAGTTCTGACACTCTCTTGTTACTCTACAGATGTGAGAAAGCCCCAAAAGCTGAAGTGTAAATGTAGAGTTCCTGTACATAATGCATAGGTTCACACATAGTGGAGACCCTCTATCCATGGGGAAGAGACTGTTCTCACTCATTTGCCTAAATTAATTAATGTAACTTTAAGTTTGTTTTTTTCAAAAACATTGGCATTGAAACAGGACTAGAATGAAATTCAGCTGTGTCACAAAACAAAGAGCCAGTGTGGCATAGTGGTTTGAAGGTTGGATTAGGACTCCAGGAGACCAGGGTGCTAATTCCTGTTCAGCTATGGAAACTCACTGGGTGACCTTGGGCAAGTCACATTCTCTCAGCCTCAGATAAAGGCAATGGAAAACCTCCTCTAAAGAAATGTTGCCAAGAAAACCCCATCATGCATTCACCATAAGCCAGAAATGGCCTGAGGGCACACAATAACAGAAACATAAAACCCTCATACAACAGAAAGGGGGACATCTGGCCAGATATTTCTGATCACCAATGGAGAGTAAGAGGGTAATTAATTTTAAAGATATTTCAACTTTTTTTTAAGGGAAGCGTCTTTTTCCTTTCCTAATTTCAGAAAGGTGCATAACCAAATGTTTATATGACAGATATGCAATAACATGTACAAACATTGTCCATAGCTGTGCTCTGTTGTATTCATGCTTAGGATTTGCACCATATTCTAAAAATGTATTGTTTGTCCCTAAGCCAGTCTGTGAAACTAGGCATCCACTAGAAGACCAAGTGTATCTTTCGCCAGTGTCTTTCCATAAATATGCTTGATTCTCTGGTGGGAAATCAAGTTCTCCTTATTTACAAAAGAAATAAATGGAAACCAAAGGGGGTTTTGTGGGGGGTTAAAGCATCCTCTTATGATTTATTTTCTGAAGTTTTCTGTCTGTACATTTCTTTCTCCATCAGAGCTGTATGCCAGACATCAGACAGGCAACATTTCATACTTAGTACTTCATCCATTTTACAATTTGATAGTATTTGCAGAGCTATCCTTTGCAAGTGCAAAGGCTGTATTGTGGAATTCAGCTATACTTTACTGGAAGAAATCTTATGGCGTGGAACTGAAATGTGTTTCATAAGTAGGAAAGCTGTTATGTTGGGCCTTACTCCTGAGTGGCAGGGGTATCACCAGGGGTATGGAGGTGCAGACTAAACTGAGCGACACCCCATGGGGGAGTGAAAACCGGATGGGTAATTGCTCCTGTCCATCCTAAGACATCTCAAATACTCACCCCTCTCTGCCAGCCAGGACACATCTGTCGCCCATCAACAGTGGTCACTGGTGGGAGTAAAGTGCTGCTGCCACCTAGAAGGCCCTTCTGGTGCCTTCCCTTTTCCATTTGCCCAGCAGTTGTGCCAGACCCAGAATGGACTGCTAGGAGGCCACAACACTGGCCCCATCATCAGCTACTAGTATAGGTGTAGTGCTTTCTGGTGCAGCTGCTGGTGGAGCAGCCTTGCCAGACCTGGAACTGGCTGCCTGGTGTAAGCAGCACCACCTTCATCAATGGCCACTGGTGGAAATAATATTATATTTGACTCCACCCACTTTATTCACCCTCTGTCAACTCTGTCCTTCTCTCTGTCCAATGCCATTATTCTCACCCACTCAAATATAACCCCTGATCCTATTCCCAAACTGGAATCCAGCACCCCTATCTTACACAACGTTTGTAGTTGTGTGCCTTCAGGAGTGCCTGTTATCAGCTTCTACTGATTTGCCAAATGCGCCCTTTCCTGGAAGTAAGGGATCTTGAAACTGTGGTACATGTGCTGGTAACCTCTCACTTGGATTTCTGTAATGCACTCTACATGGGGCTACCCTCGTGCTTGGTCCGGAAACTTCAATTAGTTCAGAATATGGCAGCCAGGCTGGTCTCTGATACATCTAGGACAGACCATATATCACTGGTCCTAAAAAGACTTCACTGGCTGCTGATTAGTTTCCAGGCTCAGTACAAGGTGTGATCCTTGGGACCGTCTCCTTCCATGTAACCCAACCTGCACACTTCAGTTCTCTGAGAGGAATCTACTTCAGTCTGTTAAAACTCAGCTGTCTACAACCTCCCAGAGGGCCTTTTCGGTAACTGCTCCCAGATTATGGAATGGCCTGCTGGACGAGATCCGTCAGATTACCAGTTTAAACAGACGGATCTCTTCCGGCCTTTCCTGACTAGTTTCCTGGCTTAAGGAGTGTGCTTATTTCTTCCCCCTACCCGCTGCCACATTTCTTTTTTTGCTGGTGGTCTGCCTGCTATATTGATTTTTTTATTTGTTAATTGTTTATTGTTCATTTATTGTTTTAATCTTCATGATGTTTAATACTATTTTAAGGGGTGGGAGGGTTTGGGATTGTACATTGCAGTATTTTATTGTTGTAAGCCGCCCCAATTGCTTTTGCAAAGGGGTGGGATAGAAATAAATTTTATTATTGTTGTTGTTTTTGTTGTTGTTGTTGTTGTTGTTGTTGTTCAAGTCTTTCTGACTTAAGGAGAACCTATCATGGAGTGTTCTTGGCAAGATTTGTTCAGAGGAGGTTTGCCACTCCCTTCCCCTGAGGCAGAGAGCATGTGACTTGCCCAAGGTCACCCAGAGGGTTTCATGGACAACGTAGGAATCAAACCCTGGTCTCCAGAGTCATAGTCAAATGCTCAAACTGATACGTTACCATATTTACTTAGAAGTAACTCAGTGATGTCAGCCTGGTCTGTTTCCACATTCACCCACCTTTTCCTGTAATACCTCTAGGCTGGTTTAAAAGTTACTTACTACCTGTTCACAGACCTTTCAGGTGATCCATTTGGATCATATAATATTTGAAACATAAATGCCACATATTTCCACCTTTCTTAAA